ACATTTTCGCGGGAAAATACAGAACAAGGTTTTATATTGTTAAAATGTTGTCCAAAATGTTCGTCCTTGTGCTGTTTGTGCTCGTAAAGTCATCGTCCACATATCATTGCGCTGAGTTCAGAAGTTACCATTATTTAGACTGCTCGAGACTAGGTATTACGACCTTTCCCCTCTACGGAAAACAAATCTGGGTTGAAGTCCTCGACTTAGAATGGAACAATATATCCATCGTAAACCTTTCAACCATTATGGGCGACTTCCCTAATATTCGTCGTATAGATCTACGCCATAACCCCATCGACTGTACCCGACTGTTACGTGAAAGAGTACACATTGCTAGTGACTGTCCCCGTACCACAGACAAGTCCACAGCATCGGCCATTACATCGCCAGCACATTGTAAATCCATCTTCGTGCTAAGCTCGACAGCACCCAATACCTCCCTGGTGAAAATCATCACACCTTCCACCGCAAGCGTCCCGACCCCTTCCCCGATTGGAACCGGTAAAAATCATATTCTCCTACTGCTCTCAATTCTGCTACCAACCGGCGCTACAGCACTTGCCTTAGCCTGTTTTTACGCCATCAGGAGGAGGAGGAGAAGGCGCCCTACAGTTTCCAGAGAACTCTTCGTACTAAACAATGCTCGTCGCCACGTACTTCTCAATCGATTCCCTCTCCTCTGATTCCCTCGACGAAGAAATATACTATGAACAAGATCGACAGCTCACTTTAACGTTTTTCTATAAACAACAATATCTTGCTGCTATGTTCTGTTATCAAAAACAATCTAATTTAGGGTGTGTCCCTCAGGGGCCCGCAAAACCTTCCTGTTGTGTTAATTTATAATGACATCCCCGAAATGACGAATGTATAAAAATAGCTTGCGCACAAAATGTCTTATTGTAAAGGCTGATTTCCACTGTTGCGTTTTTCATACGTACGTATACGCACGTAAAACTTTAAATCCGTTTAAATGTTATTTATGAAATAACCAAATAAATAAAGCAACAGAATCTAGTGTTCCACAAGTTTTAGTATGCATTTGTTAAATTATTTGTAAAATATTTAAAAAATAGAAGGATTCCACTGTTGCGTTTTTCGTACGCACGTATACGCACGTAAATCCGTTTAAATGTTACTTATGAAATAACCAAATAAATAAAGCAACAGAATTTAGTGTTCCGCAAGTTTTAGTATGCATTTGTTAACCCTTTTGTAAAATATTTTAAAAAATGTAAGGATTCAAAGTTTTACGTGCGTGTACGTGCGAACAAAAACGCAACAGTGGAAATCAGCCTTAAAGGAGACGTGAAACTTACAGCGCGGAAACGGTATCTATGTTTAAATGACCTCTGCTCTAAGTGATTATGTTCCGATAAACACTCGTGTGTTTGACAGGAAAACCCATTAGCTTATAATATATTATCCGACATAATGTTTATACAAGAGTAAACATACGCATAGGCGTACGGGGCGGAGGGGGGGCGGAAGCCCCCCCAGTTTTTTGGGCAGTCGGGCAATTTCCCAGTTTTTTGGGCAGTCGGGCAATATTCGATCAACAGTCGGGCAATTTTGGTTTGCAATTAAAAAAAATGGGATAAATTCTGTCAATTTTGTCTAAAATTAAGTAAATTTTTTGGCAAATTTTGTGATTTTTGGAAAATTTTTGTTATGTTCCGAAAAATATTGGTTGTCCGGAAAATTTTTTTGACCCCTAAAATGGTACACTGACCGAAATTTTTTTGGCGACGGGGGGGGGTCGCCAAAATAATTTTTCCGGAAAAAATTTTTTGGGCAATGTGGAATTTTTTGGGCAAAAAAGCTACCGCCCCCCCAGAATTTAGCGGCCCCGTACGCCTATGAACATACGTCCCTGAAACAGTTCGTAATACTAGTGTGAAATACTATTAATTCTATACTGTTCATTCCAGCGTGCCTATGCATTCAAATAAGACCCATTTGAAACACGCTAAAATGTACAGCCCTGTTAAAACCGTATACGCAGCACATGCTAAGAGCTTCAGTGATAGTTCCTTTATTTATATTTATATACATATAAGACCTATGATCATAAAAGCAATGTTTATATTTACAGTGCAGTGTGAGACATTGTTATTGTGCTTTCGCCACTCTCCGACGGCCCCAGTGACATTAGCTCGGTCCCAGAGTGCCTTTACGTAGCAGCTGCGCTTCTCTGCCTCCGTCCAGCCACACAGAGCCTATAGCTGTAAAACAGACCCAAAAGCAACACTATTCCTACGGTCAGCCCGACAATAATAAGGTACAAATTAAGGGTCGAAGCCGAGATTCGGGTCGGAACCGTTGCGGGGGTCAGGACTACGATTGAGGTTAGGGTTCCGGTGAGGGCCGGGGTTAGGATCCGGGATTGAACTGGGGTTCGGGGAGTGGCCGGGATCAAGGCGGGTGTTGAAACTATGGTCAGGGCTCGGATCAAGGTCTGGAACGTGGCCGGGGTTAGGGTTCCGGTGGGGGTTGGGGTTAGGATCAGGGACCGAATCAAGGTTCGGGGAGTGGTCGGGATCAAGGCGGGTGTTGAAACTACGGTCAGGGGTCGGATCAAGGTTTGGGACGCGGCAGGGGTTAGGGTTCCGGTGGGGGTCGGGGTTAGGACCACGGATCGAATCAAGGTCCGGGAAGTGGTCGGGATTAAGGTGGGGGTTGAGACCACGGTCAGGGGTCGGATAAAGGTCCGGGACGCGGCTGAGGTTAGGGTTCCGGTGGGGGTTGGGGGTAGGATCCGAGATTGAATCAAGGTCGAGAGCCGGATGAAGGTCCAGGATGCCACCGAGACTGAGGCTCCGACGGGTGTTGAAACTAAAAGCCGCGTTAAGGACCCCGTGGGGGTTGTGATTCGGATTAAAACCCGAGGTGCGGTGGGGTCCATGGTCTGGGGTGGGGGTGCGGAACTATCTGTAGACCCGAACGTAACACCCGATACCGTATCCGGCATACCTAATTGAAGAGAAAGTCAAACTATATAACTATAAGTTGCAACAAATGCCAACTTGCGCAAATGCTAGCATAAATGAAGTAAACTTACAATCACTCCTGACGTCTATCCCCAAATCCCAAACGGTTCGACAGTCGAGTGTGGGGTTGTCCCACACGTCAATATGTTCCAAGTTCGGGAAATATAACAAAAGCTCTGTTATATTTAAACTAATAAGACGGTTTTGCCTAAAGTCAATCCCCATAACCCATTCTCCTCCTGTTCCCCGCGGCCCCTCGATGGTTTCCAGCGCTAAGCCCCTACAGTCCAAAAAACCAGCAAGACGCCGTTCCAGACAAAATGGGGTGCTTCCATGCACAAAAAGTAAAATGCAAAACACAACAGAAAACATTTCGTAGATCTGTTTAAATTCCGACTGAACTATCTCGTTTCATGCATGTGAATAAATATTAGTTTACATAAACAACTCGAAAGCTATGCATAAGCGTGAGAACCACCGAATGTGTCTGAAAAACAATGTGCATCTCATTACACAGTGCTCAAACAGGTATTTGACATAATGGGATATTGTTGTTATGTTAACATCATTTTCCCGAAAGGTTATTGCATGAGTAAATGAACACACAGTGTAAAACGTTTCAAATATATATTCATAAATATGATAATACAAAGCTCTATAATTATACGTTAAATGTTTATATAAATGAGGGCCCCCTATACCTCTTCACAATATGCTTTCACGTAAAAATATTTTGCCTTTCCACGAGTCACGGATTAAGAAAATCATCGATCACGTTTCACGGCTAAGTAAAATAAGCCCTTCACGCTTCACGCAAAACGTATAGGGGGCCCGATCACGTTTCACGGCTAAGTAAAATAAGCCCTTCACGCTTCACGCAAAAAGTATAGGGGGCCCTCATAAATGTTTCAGTTCTGCTGAGCATTTGGATAATAACGACTGTAAAACAATGGTACGAAAGGTGCCATGGTGTCAGGTTGTTTTGACAATTCCTCAGGAACCCATTCAAAATAATCACACCGGTTTTCGTTGCAGCAACAGAAGAACTTTTTACCCGTATTGGGACCTTGTTTCTTGACTCGCTTCACGGCACACGGTTCGTTGTGATAGCAATTCGGTTTCTCGATTTCTTTCTCGTCTACCCACATCCATAAGGAGCAAGGATTCTCCCGACTTGCACACGTAAAATACGGTCGTCCATAAGACTTTTTCAGCATGTCTTTAACTACACGAAACTTCGCGGGCTTCCGGTGACTCTCACATATCGGTTGCGTCAAGCCTGTGGCTCTCCAAGCTGTCAGAGCTGTCTGGAACAGATAACCGTCCTCTTCTGTACATAGAAATCCACAGCTGGGCTTCTGTCCACAAAACCAAAAGGAACCCTTGTCTGTAGTTGAATTGGAAGCAGCTTTTCCGTGCAAACACTCCATCGCTATAACTTTAAAATAAAACATTTTACTTCTTGCCTTTTATACAAAAACTCAACCCGCCAAATCATACGTGTTATGCTACAAATGTTATGAAACAAACGCTATGCGACATGTGTCACGTGAAAAAAAACCGTTATGCGACAAATTTCACGTGATAGGTGCTATGCGACAACGCTATTAAAATTATATAAAGCGGGTTAAAAAGTGCTCAACATTTCAAAATGTCTTACTGTCTTAAGGATATCGCTGCAATTATTGATATGGATGGATTTTCCGTAAATGGGAAATTTCTCTGCAAAGAATTGGGCTTCCTGAAAGTCGGAGATACTACAGCACAATCCTTTTTTGACATTGGTCTGCGTTGGCGTGATTTGACACCAAAAGATCTGAGGACATGCAAGTACGTACAAACTCACATCCATAAACTTCCGTTTGGCGTTCCAGCCGGAATCGATGCCATTTCGTTATCAGCCCTAGAGGAAACAGTCAGGAACCTCTACGGTAACATGCGCAAGAACTCACTCCTTGCGTACAAGGGTGGGAATTACGAAAAAAACCTACTGGCAGACCTTAACATTCCGTCCGTAAACCTAGAATGCTTCGGTTGCCCAAAAGCGCAAAAACTGTTCGACCAGATGATATGGCTAGAAACCTGCGGAAAACACCTGACTGCCGACGCATACCAGCACTGTCCCAAAGTTGACGTGGAGGCGTACGGATTGTGGCTAGAAAAACAGCTGTAAAGAAGAAAAACAAAAAACGGTTCCTTTAGGAACCAACAAATATGTAAAAGAATTCAAACGAATACGATACTTGCACTTGCCTCACACAGCCCTATAAATATTCAACTCACACATAAAAATTCTCTTGCAAACCATTTACCTACATGAAAAAAATTATACACAATTTCGAATCGCTCATATTCTTCCACAGATTTGGTGGCTCTTAAAAGAGCCGTTTTTTTCTTGTTTCTTCTTTTCTTCTCTAGAGCAGCCCCATCTCCCGCAGGACAATCGTTTCTTCTACCAACGCCTCAGGATGGTCGCGGTACCTTGTCACCATTTCAAATACGGCCACAGCTTCAAAATTTACGTCCATCATAAGGTCGTAGAGTTCGCGCAAATGCGCGAGCTCTCTATTCCTTTCCTCCTCTTGCTGCCTGCGCCTCGCCCGATACCGCCTATGTCTCTCATTGTGCCTTTCTCGTCTACCGTCGCTATCCATACCTGATTCCTTTCGCTCTGTTTTCCTTCGCTCTTGCCTTCTCGCTCGTCGCCTCAGCTGTTCGCTTCTGGCCCAAAACGTCTCGTCACACACATATATGGATGCCGTCTTGGCGCCAAAAGTGCACAAAGCCCACGCTGGCTTCCAAGATCAAGGTCACACTTACTAGGCCAGATCATATATGATACGCGACAAAGGTCATGGAACGTTACGCTACGCGACAAGGTCATGGAACAAACGCTACGCGACCAAATGTCCTGGAACGAATGCCTAAAATAGTATATATATATATATATATACATATCCTAAATTTGTCAAAAAGCACGGTAAACAGTTGTACGCTACCTCTGATGATGGCTGGTTCAATATTTCACTTACTGGAAGTAATCTACGCTAAAAACGTAGCATGCGAGGTTCAAAAAATACGCAATGAACGCTGCTGTGGCTGTAAAGTATACGAACAGGATTGCCTAATGATGGATGAACACGAAACCTGGGGAATGCACGGGTTCAACGCTATAGAACAACGCTAACAAAACGTCCTCCACATGGAACGAATTCGTGGCCGCTATCAAAATTCTAAACGTAGAAAATCATAAAGATTTCACACAGCACCTGATGTGCTTGCAAGAAGAACCGGATCAAAACTTTGTCTACACTTTACTACAAGTATATCAAGACAATCAACCATTACTACGTATTCTACATGATATATGGAATCCACAAGCTGACCCCCTGGAATCCTATGCTCAATGTCATTTCAGCTCACCGCCAAGATACACCTATTATGCCAAAGGTACAAAGGAAACTGTACGAACTGTTACATGAAGTACATTGCTTGCGGGCGCAGGAGAAAAGCGCGCGAAAACATTGTGACGAGTTTTATCTTTTATCGAGTTTGGTATTATCACTGTGTTATATATTTGTATTGTTGATTATAAAGGAAAAATACCTCACAATAACTTGTAAGTAATCCTGTTTCTAGGATCGTTAAGTATCTTTACACACACTAATTTTTGAGTAAACTAACTAACAATGTAACATATTTTTAGCGAATCTAGTGCTGACTAGTGCAGTCGTCAGTGCTGAATAAAAGTATTGTGAAAAATCGAATTTTACGAGAATTGAAGTTTACATCATTCGAAGTTATTTTATGAGAATAGCTAGACACGATGCCACCTAAGAAGGCTAAAGCTACAGAGGCAACAAAGCAGCATGTTGTAGTCAATGAAGATGTCAACGCTACGGAAGTATTGGAATCTAAAGTGGAAACACCAAAGGCCTGTATTGATAAGGATAGTGGTGAAAAGGTTAAAGGACCATTATTAAATACAGAGACGGTGATCGTAGGTACCAATGAAGCCGACATAGTAGAAATTCGAGAAGAATCAGATAGCAACGAGCCAAGACAAAGGAACTATGATGATGACTTAACACATGATAAAGAACTAAGGTTTGAAATGGCGGTTAATGCAAAACATGAAAGATCTATATGTATGGAAGAATTTCGAAGGGAACTTAGCATGTTACAGCATCTAACAAAGGATTTCGAAACAAAACCAGAAGAGGTAAATGCAAGAAGGGACAGGTATGAACAAACATTTCATAAATTTGTTATTAGTCACGAGAATTATATGCAGCATGAAGATGACATAGAGAAGAAAGACTTAATGACTGACAATTATAATGATCAACGCGATGTCAAACTACAACTAGATTACATGGTAGATCTGTGGCAAACCAATCGAGAAAGATATCTAAAGCCCCCATCAGAATCTGGATATAGTTTGGCATCTCGTAAAAGCAGAAGTAGTCGAACATCTAGTAGAAGCAGTGTGAAAGAAAGAAGGAAGGTTATGGAAGAGGCAAAGTTGAAGATGCAGACCTTAAAGGAGAAACAGGAGCTAGAGCGCCAACTTGAAGTAGCTGAGCAAAGTAAGACAGAGCTTTCCAGGAAGATTAAATTACTGAATGCTGAAGCAGAGCTAAAGCAGGCAAAGATTGATTTTGTTATTGATCAGATTCCAGATGACGAAGGTGTCGATGGTATGAATGAATACCTTCGAGACTTTCAAGGTCCAACTTGCCCTGAAAAATCTGAAATTTCCTACCCCAGTCAACCTAAATTTGTCCCTGAGCACCCACCAACCCCTCATTCTCCAGCAGCACAGGTACAACCACCTGCACCATTGCTCCATAACCATCCTAGCCCTGAACCAAGACCGGATGTACCCAACCTAGCGACAACTGAGTCGGACAGATTCGATATTCCCAAAGTAGGACTAGATGTCACGAGGAATGAATTTTATCCAAATGCTAATCACGAAGCCACAAATACCTTGCAAGAAGAACAAGCACCGCCACCCCAACCGCAGCTAGATGTATGGAACTCCATAGCACAGGCCATAAAGGAAGGCCCTTCTTTACCCAAAATAGAGCTCATGAGATTCGGTGGTGACCCCCTGGAATATGTAGAGTTTGTGACAAACTTTAAAGATAACATAGAATCCCAAGTTTCTGATGACTCCCAGCGGTTCACTCGCCTGTTAGCGCAGTGTGTTGGCGAAGCGAAGGATGCAATCCGAAGTTGCGTCAACCTTGATGTCGGCCAGAGATATAAGGAAGCAAAGAGTTGTCTTCTTGAAAACTTTGGCCAGCCTCACATTATAGTAGAAGCTCATATGAAAAAGCTCAGAGAACTTCAAATTAGAAAAACTGATGCGAATGCCTTGATGGAGTTTGTGCGTCACCTAGAAGATTCTGAGAGAGCATTAAAGAGCATGGGATCCAGCTACTCCAATCGGTTAGACAATGAAGATGTAATAGTTATGTTGATGAGGAAACTCCCCGAAGATGGCTTAAAGAGGAAGTGGGTGGACAGAGCTGGAGACCTTATCAAGAGCAAAGACTATGTACAATTCGATGACTTTGTAAATTTCTTGAAGAAAGTGGCAGGGCGTATAAACAACAGGTATGGGAGAGAGCTTAAGCAAGCCAGTGAAGACAAGAAATTTCAGAACAGGTCAAGATTCGAGCAGCAAAGGAGAG